GGATAGAAGGATGGATGGAAGGAAGGAAGGAAGGATGGATGGATGGGCAGATGATAGATGGATGGAAGGATGGAAGATGGATGGGTATAGGAAATGTGTGGATAAAAGAAAGCTGGAAGAGAATGTAAGCAGCTTATTATTTCTGTCTTTAATAGAAGAAGAGGTTGTAAGCCTAATCCTAAAGCTGGAGATCAGAGAAAAATACTAGTGGGTCTGTCTTCAACAAACTACTGCTCAAGGGTGGGCACAACATGGTACAGCTTTGGGGGTCCTTTGGCAATAATGGCAAAAGCTTTAAAATGCACATGCCCTGTGCCCTTGTGACTTCCTGGAAATGGGCAGGTGGTACCCCAAACTCTAGATTCAAAGATGCTCTTCAATCACTTTTTATAATAAAAAAAATTTGGAAATGATCCATGGAGGATTAGATAAATACATTGGTTGTAGCAGATGGAACACTGCATATCGGTGGGAATTACGTAGATATGTGATTTGTGTAGAAAAATGGCCACTGTGAAACATGAAAAGCCATGTAGCAGAAAAAAATGTTCTTTGGAAGTTGACTGTGGACAGGCATAGAAACAGCCTTCCTTCATACATACATATGTGTGTTCATTCATTCATTTTTATGCACATACAACATACATGCATGGGTATTACACAAAAGTGGTAGGAAGATTCTCTTAGGAAGACAGATTTGGGGTTGTTGAATGTTCCGTGTGTATTCTTTAACTTACTAAAATCAGAGCCAGCCTCTCTCACTTCACAAAGAGGCTTCTCTGGGTCGGAAACCCAGCTCTGCCTCTGGGCCTCAGCTTCTGTGTCTGTAAAGTGGGGTATTGATATGGAGAACCTTCAGGACTGCAGAGACAATTCTCAGGATTGATCTACGCTCAGCACACCATGTACGGGTATCAGAGAGGGAGGTCTTTTTCCAAACAATCATGGCCCCTTTTACTTTAAGGAAAGACACTCTTGCAGGGAATCGGGACATTGTAAAAATCGGTCTAAAGGGCCTGGGCTCTCCCACAGGGGGGCTCAGTGGGTAATGTGGCCTCTGTAAATCAAGTTCTAGTAGCCAAGGCTCTTGGGTCTTAGAACTGGGGTAGGGGAAGCTCCAGTTCCAATTGGCTGAAGCCCCACATGAAACAACCAAACTCAAAAAGAAAGCTGCAGTGGGAACAAGCTTCCAAAGGGCTGGGATGACTTCAGGCTCAGGTACAATTGAGTGCTCGAATGCATTGTCACTTTGTCACCTCCCTCCTGCTCCTCAGGCCTCTGCTCTGAGGCTGTGTCCAAGCTCTAGCCTCCCAGCCAGGGCTAAACCAGGGAGCACTGCAGAACCCATTGCCAATGACCAGCCCGACCACAATGGCTGGGGACTGACAACCTCAGTGGGCCACACCTGAGCCAGTTGCCCAGCCAGGAAAGGGAGCCGTGTGGACTCAGCGTAGAGAAAGCAGAGTTTGGTGGAAGCGCTGGTAGTTGGGGTTGTGCATGGGCAGACAACTGAAATGCAGACTGCACAAGTCTTCATGGAGTTTCTGTGGGAGGCCAGAGGCTCCTCAGTGGAGCACTGGAGCCAGATCCTGAAGCTGGAGAGCTGGTGCCTGATCAAGCACAGGTTAAACTGCTATGACAAAGAGACCCACGGCTTAGTGACTTTCCAGGTGAGGGTCCAGGCCAGGTGTGGTGGCTCCATGGTACCAGGGACTCCTTCCAGGCCAAGGTGATGTCCGCCTGGTTGGGCAGGGTGGGTGCTTCAGATAGGAGGAAGGGGGAATGAACATGAGCCAGAAGTCAGCCATGTCCCTGCTGCTCTTGTCCCATGGTGCCAGACACTTGTGGTCTCAGCTGATGACCAGGGAGGCTGGGCCATGGCCCTTAACCAGATGGCATTCGTTCCCTTAGACTTCTATCACTGTGGCTCTTACATGACCAGCAGGGCTGATGCTTGGCTTCTGCCACAAGTAGGAGGTGGGGAGGCTCCCATGTGTAAACCAGCCACTCCCTGGGTATAAGACCTGATGTGTGGCTGGGTGAAGCTGGAGAGGGCTGAGAAGTCTTATTCTAAAGCTCTGTCTACAGGAGCAGTGCCCTGGGTCTTTGTTGGGCCTCAGGACGCTAGGGCGTGCCACCCTGAGAGAGGTGAACCCCTGCCTGGAAAGCTGCTTGAAATCTTTGAATATTATCTTTGTCTTAGTCACCTTTCCCTCTCTGGGACAAAATACCTGACACTTGTGATTTAAAGGAGGAGAGCTTTATTTTGGTTCATGGTTTCAGAGGGTTCAGTCCATCATCAACAGGCTCCAAGGCACAAAATCCTGGCAGAAGGGCCTGGTGGAAGGGTGTGGCAGCCAGGGAGTGGACATAGGGGAAGAGCCAGAGAGGGTACAGTCCCTGAGGCCACACCCTCATCCCTACTGGACACATCCAGAAGTGTGCCCTACCAATGTCCTAGTGTCTCTCAGGGCAATCAAGTTCACCATGATGGTCTTAGTCCGATTTCTGTTGCCCAGACTGTGTACTTTACAAGAAAGAGAGGTGTATTTAGCTTAGCATTTTGAGGTTTAAAAGCAGGGCCCTTGAGTGTGTCATGATACGTATGGCTGATGTCACCAGGGCAGAAATTCACGGGAGGGGGGAGGTCACTTGGCAAGACAGGAACTCTGAGCTATACGGTCCGCACCCTGGTGGACAGGGAAGACGCCAAGGCAGGAAGATGAAGGTCATCTGCTGAAGGTCGCACAGGGAGGCTCTGGATTTAAGCCAGAGGCCATGCTTCTAAACCTTAGGTGTTGAGGATGAGGTTCCTGTCACTGTGACTCGCATTTTCGGATGCCAGGACAGAGGCTCAGAGAGGTGCAGTGATGTCCCCAAGGCTACGAAGTGGGGACACAGCCCTGAGGGTGGCGAGCCCTCTGTTCCCCATCTGGCTGGCCTGGTGGCCCAGGTGAGCCACCACCCGCAGGCCTGGCGCCTTGGTGAGATGGTAACTGATGTGAGTAACTCTGGGCCCACTCTGACTGTTCCGTCTTGGCCTTATCAGCCTGGACTTCCTCCAACTGTGTGTCGGCCAGGCCCGGGCCCCAAATTCCTGGTGCGTGATGCTCACTGTCTACGATAACAGCCTGGCCGGGCTCCCGGGGGATGGCCGGCTCGGAGACACGGCCAGGGAGGTGGAGGCTGGGAGAGGCGTCTGCACTCATCCGGTGGCACGGAGTCGGCAAGGCTGAAGCTTCTTGGGCTGCAATGTGAGCCTCTTGCCCCCGGGTCTGGGAACTGTGGCAGGGAAGGGCAGGGCAGTATAGGAGGCTCGAGATCTGGCACCTTCGACTGCCCAGGCCACCTCCCTTCAGGGGAGAGGGGAGGGCGCCATCTGTTAGTTCCTCTCTCAGCCTTATTTACCGAGCACTCCCCTTGGGTGAAGCCCCAGTTTCCGATATTGCTGGGATCATCCTCCCCATCCCTGAGATAGGCCTTGGTGTCACAGTCTTCACTGTAGAGAGCAGGAAACTGAGACCCAGAGAAATAGTCCCTGTCCACGGGCAACCAGCTGGCATGCAGTAGCTCTTAACTACCAGGTTAGTAGTCAGCTATGAATGAACTTTAAAAACTCAGCCTGAGCAGGGTATGGTAGTGCACACCTATAGCTCCAGCACTTTGGCAGGAAGATCATATTCAAGCCCAGCCTCAAAATAAAATTAAAAAAAAGATTTGGGGATGTAGCTCAGTGCAAAAACCCTGGCATGTGTCAGCCTAACACACACACACACACACACACACACACACACACTCCAGCTGGGGAGGACTTTGATGAGGACACAGTGGAGCAGCAGGGTAGCGTCAGTTGCTCCATCTCTGGGTGGGAACGTGGAGATGTGAAGGGCACTGCCGGGGTTCAGATTGAAGGCAGAGGCAGCTGGCCGGTTCTTAGCACAGGCTTTGGTCCCCTGACCACCTCCTGGTTCTGCTGTGAACCCCCGGCCCCTCCTGGCTGCACCTCCTTCCCTGGGTGATGCTGGGCAAGTGGCCCTCTCCGGGCTGTGGCTCTTGACTGCCTCTCTGCTGTCCTGGGCTGGCCACGTCTGGTCATGGCTGCTCCCGAGATGTGAGGTAGTGACAGGCAAGGGAGGAGACCAGAGCAGCTCTGAAAGTTCTTAATCCCACCTGCGGACTTCCAGGTGGTCAAGAGCGTGAACTTCATCTGTGTAAATTTCACTACAGTAAAAGAGAGACACAGACAGAGACTGGGGCTGGAGAGGCGGGGAGCCCCGCGGACAGGTGGATGGACGACATTCCGGAGCTTGGGCCCCTGGGCCCCCTGTAGGTGCCGGGGGAGGGACCAGGCCTGCAGTCTGGGCTCAGGGCCAGTCCCCTTTCCTCCTGGGCTGCTGGGGCAGGAATGTGGGTCCTAGGCCGGCAGGACCTGGATCTTCCAGTGGGGGTTTTGAGCCTCTGGCCAGGAGAAGGACCTGGGAAGCGCCCTCGCCCCAACGGCCTGCCTCCTGCGGGGCCTGTTTCCAGCGCAGGCTCCGGTCTGCTGATCGATCATGGGGTGCCCAGCCAAACTGGGGTGTCCCACGTGCCTCGGTGGGGGCTGTGTCAATACCAGAGGCAGCTCGGCGGTGGGAGGCTGGGTCCGGCCTCTCACGGGCCTGCCTCTTGCTCGTTTTCTACAGCGTGTCCAAGCCAAGGGTCCTGGGTCCTCCATCCGGGTGGGGACCCTGAGGCTCGGGCTGGCTGGGGTGGCTGGCAGATCTAGGACTTAAAGTTTACTCAGGGCGGGAAAGTGGTGCTCCAGGAGTCTGGGAGGGGGCCAGGTAGCTGCACGCGTCCTCAGGAGTCGCAGGCCCCGCCCCGGCGGGAGGCAGACTCCGCCCAGAGGCGGGAAGGCCAGGGGAAGGGAGGCCCGGCCCGCCCATCTCCCCGCCCCTCACATTCTCGGGGCTCCCTTCTCCCCGCCCTCCCCCGCCCCTTTCCCCGCCCACCGCGCCCCGCCCCGCGCCGCGCGCAGCCCAGGGCCCGGGCTCTCGACGCCGACGGCGGCTGGACGGACGGACACGGCCGGCCAAGGGAGCGCACCGCGGTGAGTATCGCGTCTTCCTGCCCCGCTCCGCGTCCCCGCCCGGCGCCCCTCTCTTCGCGGGCTGGGGCGCAGGGACGTCCGAAGGCTCCGCCGCCCACGCCTCCCCGCCCCGCCGCTCACGCCCGTTCCCGCCGTCCGGACCCCCCGCCGCGTGGGGGCTGCCCCCGATGGGTCCCCGCCCACCAGGGCCGTCTCGTCCTCTCCTGCCCCTGGGCCTGGTCCCGCCGGTCTCACCCCAGTCTGTGCTTCGGGGTCCCTCCGCTCCCACAGGGTCACCCTCCCCTGGGTCCCCTGGGTCGCCACCTCCAGGGCAGGAAAGACCTGGACCTGTAGGTTCCAGCCGCGACCCCACGCCTCCTCACACTCACCGCCGCGCAGTGTTTCTGTGCTGTGTGCGTGGACGTCTCAGCCCCCTCCCCCGGTCCGCGATCTTTCCCACGCAGGGGCCCCTCTGCTCACACGTGCTTCTTACACACGTGCCTTGTACTCCTGCGTCCCTCGGACACAGATGACCCTCCATCAAACAGCTGTCTTGATGGAACACGCCTGCCTCACATGCACACGAGTGGGCCCCACGTGGGTGTCTATCACACACAGGACTCCATCACGTGTGCCACATGTGTCTCCCTTACACTTGTGTGCCTCTTACATATGCAGACACACAAACAGCCTGGCCCTCAGGGTGCCTTGCAGCCCAGCACCTTGCGCACCGTCACGTGGGCTCCAGCCCCTGTGGTCCTCCTGGCTGTCCTGGTGGGGTGAGAAGCCCCAGCCTTGAGTGAGGCAAGGGGTGGCTGGTGGGCCTTGTACTTGGCGAGGTTCCCTTCCCATGGGGCCAGGGGGCCTCTGGGGAGCACTGGTTGCAGGGGTGGGTGTGGACCCCGCCCCCCCCAGGCCGCAGTCTCCTCCTTAAGTTACTGAGTCTCCCCCTTCTTCCTTGCTGTCCTGGTCTCTCCCAGCTCAGCTCTGTGACGGCTACTTGGTGGGCCCGAGCCAGCAAGTGTCAACAGGGCAGGCCAGAGAAAAGAAGAAAGTGTGCAGTTGGGGTGCTTGCTCCCCCGGAGCTCCCTGGAGAAGGGGCTGACCCAGGGCCCTCCCGGAGGGAAGGAGCCAAGGAGCCGGATGGTTTGAGTGGCAGCCAGGGATGGGTCCCCTGGGGCTAGGGGCGCAATGGAAGCCACTGCTGTTTGCCACTGAGCAACTGGGGCTCTGGGCCTTTGCTTCCCATTTGCAAAGTGGGGGTAAAGATGCCCCCAGGAAGAGGGGCTGGACAGCACAGGAGCTGCTGCCCTTGGTATTTCCAAGGCTTCCTGCACCCAGCCCCCCATCCTGAGCTGTGGGCCAGGGGCGGGGTGGGCAAGGTGGGCAGCGGATGAAGTAAAAGGCTCTTACCCTGGAGCCTCAGACCTGCCAGCCTTAGCTGTGGCTGGCCCCGCCTGTTTTGTTTGGCTCTCACCGTGTTATTATTATTTTTAAAAAAAATTTAATTAGCTGCCAGCATTTACAAATTGGCTGGGTTCGCATAAATATCCGGATTTCCGTCTTCTCTTGAAGAATCACAAGCTCTGGCAGTTTGGGGTCCATGTGCCTCTGTGACACCCCTTGGCTGGAGTCGCCTGGCTGCCTCCCTGAGCTGGGGCAGGGGTGCCCTGTGGCCACAGTCTCCACCTGGCCCTCCTGTGGCTCTCACCTCCTGCCCGGCCTCGGGGTGGCTGTGACTGCTATAGAAATTGGACTCCTGTGACTGCTCTGCCCACCTTGGGGGTGGGCCCAGGCTTGGCACCCACCCAGGACCTTGGGGACAGGAGCAGTGAGGGGTGTCCAGGGCCCTGGATCACAGGGCATCTCTGCTGGGGATCTCCACAGGGACCCCCCGCCCCTTGCCTGGTCCAAACAGCACACAGTAAGTGCTCAATAAATGCTTGTGGCGTAACTAAGGTAATTGAAACTGCTCAGTAGGGGTCAGGATGGAGCCAAATTCAGGGCCTAAGGGGGAAGATTGCTTGAGGGCTGAGTGGCTGTTAAGGATCTTTTTAATCAGCCCTAAAACAGGATTCCTGCTTGACTGTGACAGTCACATTCACTGTGACCCTGTGGCCACCAGGTGGAGGCCCCTGATTCTCAGGGAGTCCCTGTGGCCCCAAGAAGCCTGAGGTGGGCCCTCTTGGACACCAGATGTGGCATCCGCCTTGCATTTGAGGAACATCTTTTCCGCAAGCCCTGGGCTGGTGGTGGCAAGTGAGATACCACACAGAGAGGGACTCAGGGGACCCACAGTGGGTGGAGGGACAGCTGGCTTCCACCTCCCGTCTTGTGTCGCCCCAGGTGGCTGCTTGCTGGGTGGCATGGGGTGGGGTGGCCCTGTATTATTCTCAGACCCTCTGCTCTCTGGCTGCTGTGTAGTGTGTGCCGAGAAGTGTGTGTCTGAATGAACGGAGACCGGCCCCTTGGTGCATGGGACCAGAGCTATTCTGGGCCTGGCCTGGCAGTGTGATGGGGTGCAAGGGGGCATGTGGCCTGGGGTGGGCCGTTGCTGGCTGCTGTGTGTCCTGGGTCTGCATTGGGAAGTGGCGGAATTCGGGAACCCAGCCTCTGGCTGTACACAGGAGGGAGTCACTTGGCCATGCCGGGCCAGGCACAGTCTTGGGGGCCCATGGAGGCTGCTGTCTGGGAGTTTGAAAGCTACTGAAGTTTTGAGTCAGGGAGTCAGGAGATGTGGTTTCAACTTAAAGATGCCCTGGCTGGCTGCAAACTCGAGTCTTTGTGCCTCAGTGGAGAGGATTTTGGCAGAAATGCCAAGCTGCCTGCTAACCACTCCTTAGAGCCAGTTCTGTGCCAGGCCTGGTGCTGGGGGGCGCTCCTCTGCCCTGAGAACCTACAGGCGGGCGGGGGAGACTGGCCCACCAACAGACTTGGAGATCAGGTGGTGCACGCTGGAGAGATGCCACATGTCCCTACCGTGGACTGTTACACAGCTATAAAAAAGACCCTAGGGGTCGGGGATTTAGCTCAGTGGTTTTGCCGTCTGCTGTGCAGGTGCAAGGACCCGAGTTCGATCCCCAGTACCAAAAAAAAAAGACCCGAGGAAGCTCTCTGTGGAAAGATGTTTAAGGTCTATTAGAGGAGAACCAGGAGCTGACCGGTGTATAAAGCATGTTAGCTCTTTTGTAAAATCCGAATACAAATTCATGTTTGTATTTGTGGGTCCCTAGCCTCAGTGCTCGCCTGGGGAGGGGACAGTGGGCCACAGGGTGGTAAGACTTCCCCCTGTGTCCTTTGTTAGACTTTTTGGTTTCCAAGGAGATCAAAATTATACAGTACCAAAGTCCTTTTTTGCAAAGTTTGGCCAACAGATAAAAGAAACACCCCGCCCTTCCCTGGTGCGCTTGCTTCTGGGCTGTGACTGCCGCTCTTCCATGCTGAGCACCACCCCTCTGATGTGGCCTCCGTTGTTTCTCCCTTCATTCAGCAGGTACTTACTGAGCACCTCCTGGGTGCCGGGGATGATGCAGTGACCAAGACGATGTCCTCCAGCATCACGGAGCTCATGCTGGTGGGCGACACAGGCAGGGACAGATCAGTGAACGCTGTGATGTCTTGTGCAGGTGTATGGGCCAGGAGGGGCAGGTGCCCAGGACGGGGGCTGGGAGGTAGGGAGCCAGCCCTGGGCATTACCGGGGGAAGGGACAGTAAGGCAGAGGCCGTGCCAGAGACATGTGACCGTGAGCTTCTGGGGGACGGGGCACCCCACAGTTGCAGAAGTGGGCCGGGACCACCGGATGTGAAGCGGAGCCCCCGGGGGATTGGGTGGGTGGGGTCCGACTGAGGTCTTAGAGGTCCCCCTGGTCTTGGGAAGCGGGGAGCAGGCTGCAGTGGCACAGGTGTCCCAGCCCCTGTGGTGCCGGGAGTGGAGCGGCTGTCAGGAGTTGAGCGCCACAGGTTCCGGGCCTCTTGGAGGTGGGGCTGCCGGGATTCTGGCAGGGGTGTAAGCAGAGTGAGGCCCAGGCTCCGGCCTGAGGGCAGGTGTGATGAGCACATTGCTCCATTCCCAGGAACGGCCAGGCAGGAGGCAAGGGAGTGGTGGCTTTGTGGCTCCCCTTGGAGAGGGTGGGAACCGTCCCTGGCAGTTTGTGGGAGCAGCCAGGGAGGCACTTGCTGGGCCAGGCCTTGTGGGCTTGCAGCTCCTCAGAACTCCTGTGCTGGAGTGGGCCCGGGCCTCGGGCTTTCTCCCGCACAGTGCAGTGTGCGTGTGGGCTTATCCTGGGGCTGGGGCCCGTGCGTGCAGGGAACAGTGTGCAGGAGGGGACTCTGGCCACCTCAATGCCTGGGGTGCTGCAGGCTCAGCTCCGTAGCACGAGGTTGCCGGAGCCAGGGCATGGTCAGGGATGACCTCCAGGAGGAAGGGCTGCTGGTGCTATGGTGGGAAGGTGGAGGGAGAGACCTCGGGCCGAGAGAAAGCATGGCTTCCCTTGGAGAATGAGTTGTAGGGGAGGTGGGCAGGACCCCCAAAATGGAGGACGCCCCAAATGGTGGACCCCCAGTTTTTCTTGGTTCCGGGGATCTAACTCAGGACCTTGCGCTTGCCAGGCAGGTATAGTGCCACTGAGCTAAATCCCCAGCCCAGGTCCCCAATTTTGGTGTGAGGGCAGCCATGGGCAGCTTCACAGTGCTCTGAGCAGACCTGTGAGGTTGGAGGACCAGGAGCAGGGTGGGACTCGGGGACAAGGCAGCAGGTGGGAGGCCTTTGAGGGTGACAGGGCAGGGAAACTGAGGCACAGAGTGGGCCTGCCTACCCATAGTCCCATTGCAAGCGAGGAACAGGAACTGGGCCGGCACCAGGTCTGTCTACCTCCCAGTCCTCGAGTACAGGGCACTGCGGCTGTCCCGTGCCAACGTTCCCCTCCTCCAGCAGTCCTTTCCCTGGGCCCTCGAGGGTCAGGGTGTGCGTCACTTTGTACCATTGTCCTCATGGCTGCTGTAATCTGGAAATGTTACAAGAA